TGTTCGTGGGTCACTGCTGTGGATCCTGGTGTACAGGAGTTACAGTGGTGGGCGTGTGGGTGGGATTAGTCCCAAACAAAAAAAATACCACATAATTGTTTAAGCACAATTTTCAACTCCTCAAATTCATTGTTCATTTCCAAACGCCATGTGTTATGCTAAGAGCCTGATATTTTCTTAACCGCTGTTATCGATTCTGGCCTTTCTTATTATCGGGGTAGAAAATCCCTTCGGATCGCCCGCCTAGGCACGCAGGAGCCAGAAGTATGTGGTGCAACCACAAAAAACCACTCCGACGGCCGGCCTTGGGCCGTACTCTGAGGAGGACCCGGACCATACGATTCCGGCCTATAAGTTAGGGAGGGCCATCAGGGAGGGCGTTGGTTAGGTGGGTTTAATCCTATTAAGAAGAACTACTGCTTCTCTTCTACTCTTAAGTTGAAAAACTACTACTGCTAATCTCAAGTAAAAACAAGAGTATGTATAGGTACAATATTTTACATGATACATAGTAGCAATCAATAGTAATTCACATAGTTGAAACCACATAATGATAAATACCTATACGTATAACATCGACATAATAATAACAATAAGATTAAAATCATTATAATATAAAATAAAAAAGGTTTAATGTACATAATGATGAAACCAGTTTCTATCATGGCATGTTTTGATAAAAATGATTGCTCTCAAACAACAACAAAACAAACTGTTTGACCTATTGAAAGTAAGAGTTATTCGACGAACAAGTCTGCTGTCCGGCCCGTACGGTGTTTAATGTTCACTAAGGCAAGTAACACATTTCAAGTAGTTACTAGCGCTTCATCAAACGTTTTACAGTATAATTGAATTTTAAGTGATTATTTCTACATTATATTACGATATATATAATATTATTCTTACTCAAGATGAACGTACTTTTTCTAGAAGCTTAACATACAATCCTTTTTGCGGCGCAGTTACGATAGTTGCGAACTAAATATTAATAATAAAATGGGTTATACTTGTATAGCTTCTATGTTATATTCAAGGAAAACAGTGTTACAATATTTGTTCAAGAAATTACTGAGAATGTGTTTAAACTGAATTTAATTAACTGAAATAAATTCAGGCGCCACCAAAATCTAAATCTAAATAAAATATTTTTTAATTTTATTTCCTTATCTCAGAGGTAAAGTAAAAAGCGCAGATTAAAATCTAAGTTTTTATCCCAGATTCAACACTTGTCGTCGATTGAACCTACGAGTAACCACGGTGGAGTGGTTAACCAGTCCATCAGTTCAGAGCAATTTTGCAATGAAAGCCTGCTAAAGAATTGCTAGTCAATACTGATCAAATTAGCAAAATAGAATTAGGGGTTATATGACTAAAATATTTTTTTAAGAATATCTACAATTTGTAGATATAAATCCAACAGCAAATCTTAACATATATCTAATTATAATTATGTATTTTAAAAGTTACATTTTCATGTTACTTCTCTTTTGAGTAAGTATTTTCATAAAAATATTAGTTTAATATTTTAACCGTTTCCGGTCTGCGACCAGGTTAAACTCGCGCCTAAGGAGACGTTTTCCGCGTTAGACTATTTGTCATTAAGACTACCTGTAGTATTGACAGGAGATTAAATCTGTGCGGTTGATGGAATTATTTTCTTTTTCGGTTATATCTGAGAACAAAAGCTATGGACACCGCATGTGTTCCTTCACAGGATTTAGACGGTTCGATCTCGACATAACCATGTCGCTGAGTTTGCGTTACAAAAATCTGTTTAGATGTAATAGGTAAAACTTGATATCATACAAGAATTTTTGAGCTCTCTAGTTTCTTTTTCTCTAGTTTAAAAAAAGACAACTCCGTCGCGGGGGACTTTACAAACTTACATGAAACGGACACAAAGAACATCCAGACTCAGAACAACAATTTGTGGATCACAAAGTGTCGCCCCATGTGGGGTTTGAACCCACAACACTCGGCGTAATAGGAAGCGGCGTGGCGACCGCTTAAACCACTACGCCATCCGTGCAGTCTTGTTATTTAAGCATTCCTTTATATTTCAAGGTTTGGTGTAAGATGTGCGACACTTCCAAAAGCTTTATGTAAATAAGCTTTTACGAGTTTAATTACTTACGTCAATTTCGCTATTCGTCTAATTATTTAATAAGTCAACTTTGCTATTCCTCTAGTTATTGCTGTCGAACTCTCTTTCAAAATCAAATTTACTTTTAGGAAATAAAAAAAAGTCCAATTTCAGCCAAAGTCTAAGGCCAAACACGACTTTACACGGCATGGTTATTTTATAAAAGGTTTCCGGTGTGTAAAACATGATTCAAATTGTTATATAAATAATAAATTACTAAATGTAAACAATTTCCGAGTTATCGGTACGGCTAAAATTTGTTACGAAATCTTGTCGAGCTTGTATTGTTTCTACGTGTGCAGTTTTGATTCGTGTATTATAACTCATTTATACTCGATGTAACTTAAGAACTATAATTTGTATCGATATAGCCAATAATGGGTGGAAAGTATTCTAAACAAAAAATTTAAACTATAAAATAAAGGCAAATCATGATATTAGTGAAAAATGTATTACTATTACAAGGGGCTTCAGTTTAGCGGTTCCTTAAAAGAAGGAAGATCTACTTGGTTTTAGTTTCAACTAGCTGATTGATTTAAAAAGCGCTGCTTTAGTGGGTTCGATTCCCGGACCGGACAAAATTTTATAGCCGTAGTTACTCCTTATATAGACAGCTACCTCGTAGTAAAATATCAAAATAGGTCCAGCCGTTTTGAAGATTACCCCGGAACAAAGAGACAGACGGACAAAAAATATTTAAACTGGTTTTTAGGCATAGGTATCGTGCAATCAATTTGACATTACAAACAGACACTTCAATTTTAACACGCTTTTATTAGCTTCACCTGTATGTTTGTTTGTTTGTTTGTATGTAACCGACTCCTTTGAGCTCGATTTTGCCCTACTTTGAACGAACAGATTTGATTTAAACTTTGCACACCTGTCAAAGGTCGATGACAATGCAATAATCCGATCAAAATATCCGATTATCCTAATTAGATTCGCCAGGATTAATTAATTTCTTTCCGCATCCTTTGCATGCGAGTAAGAGAGACAGAGCTAGTGCGCGAACTACGCATGCGTGCAGTTCCAGACTTGCTCTTTCGGTCGCCAGAAAAAACAACAACAAACCAAAACACAAAAAATTTAACTAAAAAATGAAAAATAAATAATAGTTTAAAAAAACTAAAATTAAAAACACGCTTTTATAGAAAATCCAACTAAAAAACAGAAAATAAAGTTTAATAAATTTGGATTAAGAATAGTGTAAATTTGATTAAGTTTGATTAAGTACAGTGTAAAAAAAAATGAATGTACATTATTGTAAAAAAAAGCGTGGGGTGCATAGTGTCAATAGTTATAAACATTTATTGTCAGATGAGTAGAAAAATCATCACTTTGATAATATCATAAAAAGCACTTCAGATGCACCCCACGCTTTTTTTTACAATAATGTACATTCATTTTTTTTTTACACTGTACTTAATCAAACTTAATCAAATTTACACTATTCTTAATCCAAATTTATTAAACTTTATTTTCTGTTTTTTAGTTGGATTTTCTATAAAAGCGTGTTTTTAATTTTAGTTTTTTTAAACTATTATTTATTATTAATTTGTATAGATGAGTGAGCCTATCCTTAATTTTGTGCAATCAACCTGTGTCAAATTTTGAATCACACATCTCAATTTACCTACCTTAAGTTAAGTATCTACTAAGTACCATAGTACAGGGTAACTAAAAAATGTTGAACTGCCAAATCGTCGCAAGCTTTAGATATTTTTTTCTTAACATGTACCTATTTTATCTTAAATTCCCTAGTTTTGTTCAATACTAAAACTAATTCCAGCTGTGCCTGTGTCCTGAATGTGGTTTCGTAGTATTTAAACTTAAACTATTAATCTATTATAAAACAGTGATAGATAAATAAATTGATGAAAAAGTTACAGTAGTAGTATACACACAATGTAATTGTTATAATGAATTAAAGATAATAACGGTTAAATGAACTATTTTTCTCGTTTGGAAGTCCCATTTGGACACGCAGTACAGACGCCGCGCCGCCTTGAAGTGTTGCGTGCGCCATGTTTTGTTTCAAGTTGTTACAATCAAGACAAAAAATGTCACATACACACATTTCGACCGTAAAAGCCGCATTCGATTCTAAACGTAACGTAACGTCTAATCGACTGCAGACTCAATGTCATCATTACGTTGCCGTTGCGATGGCCTTCGCGCTTACCATACGTTCATCGAACGCCTACGCTGGGCGCTGGACAAACGTGTGTGAGCCATTGTATTACTATCATGAATAATAGGAACAAAGTAGAAAGCATCTTATAGGTATTATAAAAGGTCATCTACGACTTAAACTACGACCTCAATTGTTTTCAATTCTATCCAATTTAAAATATAAAAATCATTTACGTTAATCGTCACGTTAGTGAATCAATAATATAATTTAAACAATGGTCTGTGAGTTTAGTGAGTCATTTCAAATCCTAGACATAGAAAAGTGAATGCATTATAAGTAATAGATTATGTTAGAACTTAGCATCCAACCATATATTATATGTAGGTAGATGATACGGTTTTCCTTTTGTTGTTTATTTTTATACAGCTATGTGTCATGCCTAACATGTTGCCTACCTTATTAAGATTAAATGTCAGACAAAATAAGATTATAATACATCATTATCGAAGAGACAAAATGCATCGTTCGTACATAAACCTGTTTGACTAATGAATACAATAATAATGGAATGCTAAGAATATTACTTAATGATACTTATAGTTAAAGCGCGAAAAGTCATCTACAAACACATTAACTGCAGTAAACAAGGACTAGCATTGCGTAAATTGATAAAATGTGTGTTCTGTGACGATTATAGTTAAATATCACTCGTTAGTGACTCACCTTTTTTGCCTGTGAACGGAGCAGGATGCCATTCTGGTACATTTGTCAGGATCGCTTCCACCGCCTGTGAGCAATGGATACATGTTAGGCATAGGTTCTTTTTAAATTGAAGCTTTTGGACTGAGAAAGTACATTGATCCTACAGAAAAGTACGGTCGTTTAGCACTACAGTGTAGCGTTGTTTTGTGTTGTCGTGTAGACACGTCACGGCAAGGCGCTTTACTCTTTGATAAAGGGTAGCCTTTTATCAAAGAGTAAAGCACCGTACCGTGATGGACGTGCCAGTTCGGGGAAAAACACTCGTTTCGGGTTCTCACCAACATGTACACGTAAGCAAAACCATGCTTCTTTATATTTAAAAATCGACGAGTTATATACACACAGGTTTAAACGTCTTGAGAATCATCATCATAATCAATCATCATCATCAGCCTTTATTAAGCCACTCTGGACACAGGCCTTTCCTTAGAAAGGGATTTTGCACCTACTATTAATTCTTCAGATTAGCCGAAAAATATTCTTTAAAGTTTAGTAGAGATGGAATAAACAGTTTTTTTTTACAATTATTGCAAGCACAAATCCGGGACGGGCAAGATGACTGTTCGAAGTTTTTATTTCAAAAATCCACTCCATCATTTGTTACAACATATTTGCTCATTACGAGACTCAATATACTTTCCTAGGCGTTAGTTCTATGATTTTAAATAACTATATTAATGAGTTTAAACTCATTACGATAAATCGTATGATTGTGATACAATGATGATTTCATAAAAGAACACTAAAATGTGTATTCACGGAGGTGTTAAATTTCTCGACGTATAATTTGACATTCATGTAGTTGTATAATTAAAAATACCGCTGTGTTTTGACCCCGTTTAAAATGACAATTATTTGGTGTAGGTAAGTATGTGTGTCATATGATAAATACTAAATAGGTATCACATGACAAACCAGTTTTTATGTAGAGTGAGTGAACAGCAAAAGGGTTTCGAGGTACTATTTTTTATTTATATCTATGATACCAATAAATATATTCTTTTTAAGCATTCGTCCAACCTTGAACCCATCCAAAAAAAGTAATATTGTCACAAAAATATTATAGAAAACAATTATGCTTTTATAACTTTTAACAAATTGGCAGCCATGTTACAGGTGATATCGATGTCCAGTGACCATCCACCATTTACTAATGTGACAACGTCCAGTAATAAGTGTAGTAAGAACGCAAGACGCCTTTTTTTTAAAACTAGTCTATTAAACATACTGAGCTCAACTAGAACTGTTATGTGTAAATATAGTAAAAGTATCATCAGATAGGTATATTCTTGCACACCAAAATGGTATAATACAATCTAGATATATTCCACGGTTTCATAAGACCAAACAGTACACTCCTAGAATTTAATTTGTCATCAGTTCTATTACAATTTGTCACCAGTTTGTACAACAAATATGTTTTAAACTATAAATATCTCTAAGAAACTTCTAAACCTTTACACAATGAACCGATTCCAAAGAGGATTAAGGTTTAATCCTGTTAAAACCATAACGGATCTAACGATGAATCTATAGAGATCTATTTTTAGTAATATTTAATGTTAACATACAATATCCTTAAAATTGACAACAAATGTTAAAGGTTACGAGGGCGACCTGTTAAAAATATTTAGTAATAAAATATAGATGATAGGAAGATCTGCGGAATGTTTTTGAAGGAAATCATTAACCTTTCAATGCACTTGTTTACAATCCAGATAGATAAGGCAAAAATTCTAGAAGACAAATACGAGTTACACAAAAATTTTAAATTGTAATTTAAATTATATATGAATACGATAATTAACGCCATTACGTTTTAGGTCTAATACCTATAAGGTAATGTCGTTAATTCTTTTGGGATACTTTTCAAATGCACGTTCCGTCCAGGTTTCATCGACCAGAGTCACAAGTTGACAGGCTCAGTGGCCGCGTTATCTTCCGCATGTGTGTATACATAATCATATAACATAGAAAGAAATTAACCATTCTGCGTTGTAAAGGGGTAGTAGGCATGAGAACTCCTAAAGAGAGTGGTTCAAGAACAAAATTAGTATATTTTAATGAAATAAAATGATATTTATTTCTGTAAGTAAATCTTTTCAGATATTTTTACCACGTCGGACTTTCAAGCTAGAAGGAGCCGGCATTTCCTAAGACTCACTCTGGGAAGAAACGCCGAAACAACTTTCTGTCTGTCTGTCTGTTTTTCTTTTTTAACCGACTTCAAAAAAAGGAGGAGGTTATCAATTCGACTGTATTTTTTTTTTATGTTTGTTACCTCAGAACTTTTTTAGTCCGTAAATAAAACTGTGAGAGTACAGTATAGGGTCTGGGTAGGCCTTTTGAAGAAAAGAGCTTGTCCATACAGACGGCATACAGGCCCCAGCTAACGTGTAGCTTAACCGATATTGGTCAAGATCAACGACCCGAAGCACGACTCTACCGCCAGCAGGGCATTTGGGTAGGCCGTGAAAATACTCAAAACCACCAGAAAGCTATTTACACAAAAAAGTATATACTATACAATTCAAATTCAACGAATTTAAAGAAATTGAAAACAAATAAAATACGAAATACTCCAAAAAAAGAAAAAAAAAATGTCCATCACTCTCAAACATAACAACAACGGTAGAAACTTAAATGTGAAAGTGAGCAGCATCAATCCCAAGCAATTTGTGAATTTGTCATCTCAATAATCTGTGATAGTGTAGTAAACCTTTTCACATAGTTTTAGTTTTACTAAAGTCTTAAATGGAATTTGCTTGGCATTTTGTTGTAGAATCGCACACCCTGACATCGAAAAGACTTGATTGCTTTTTGTAGTCTAGAGGTTGGTTACACGAGTTTATCTTTATTTCTAGTGTTTATTTTATGAATGTCGCTAAACTTTGTGAATAAATGAATATTTTTCTTTACATATACAAACATTTTCATATATATATTGAAATGCGACTGTCATGATACTAATTTCTTTAAACTTATCCCTCAGTGACTGCCTATAACTGAGATTATAAATTGCGCGTATAGCTCTCTTTTGCAATACAAAGATACTTTAAATGTCAGCAGCATTTCCCCACAACAAAATACCGTTTGACATTACACTATAAAAATAGCTAAAATACACCAGTCTTGCTGTTTCTACATCGGTTAATTGAACGAATTTTATAAACACTGCTGCACTGCTGAGTCTATTCGACAATGCATCAATGTGTTGACGCACTGCAATTTAGAGTCTAGGGTTATACTTAAAAACTTGGTGGTGTCCACAAGATCCAACTCCTTTCCATTTATTAGAACATTGGTTTTTAACTGCTTAACATTAGGTGTAAAAAATCTAATAAATTTCGTTTTATTCTCGTTTAAAAGTAAATTATTAACATTGAACCAGTTTACGAGTACAACCTTAGATAGAGCCAATTACGTCATCGGTTACTGATTGCTGTCGTTTAATGATATTGTATTAGGACATAGCACATATAAGTTCCTAAAAAAATACAGAATATGCAATAAGTGGGACGGGGGCAATGTTTTAAGGCACGTTCCTGCTATTCGTCCCTTCTTCTCTCAGTATAGCAGAACAGAACAGGGTTAAGCCATAGTCCTCCAAAGACCGATTGCCTACTGCACGTAGATAGTTAAATTTTGAGAACATTTTGGAAAACTTTCGCATTTACCTGCACTATTAGAGAAGTGACCTTTAATTTCTAATATGCAAATTAACTTTAGATGATGAACGCGAAATCAAAAACTGAGAAACTTGACCACTACTCGGTTATTATTGATAAAGTTGACACAAAAATACTCAACTCAATTTATAGATTGCTTTTGGTTTACATAATTCAACAAAACGTCTAAAATCCTTCGAATAGAACACAAAGCATATAAGAATCGTTTCGCTGAATAGCTATCAATCAATGAGAATGCCACGATAACACTGAATACAAGACATGTTAAATTGTTTCCTCAAGCGTTACCGTACGAAACCTAATACGTTATTTAGATCCATGGGGCTGACATATACTAGACTTTGGAGGATGATTTGGACATTGACAAATGAATTAATATTAGATAACTATTTGCATATTGTTTTAGAAAGTGTGTACTCATTAATTATACAATGCCCATTAAAGTACATGAATGTATAAGAACCTCGAGTTATATGGCAAGATCGTGACAATAGCTTGTTGTCGCCTTTGCCCACCCCAGATGGGACTGAATTTATGTATTTATTTTAAGTATTTCATAGCTGTAATATTATGTAATATATATTTTTAATTGCAGTCGACAATAGTTTGTACTACCGTTGGCAACTGTACCATTTGCATATTAAGGAACTTTTCGCACCAATGAACAAATGATACGTTAATGTGAAAATAATTGGTGGGCACGTTTAATTTTATTAATAGAACACGACGATTTTTTTTTTTCGTGTAATGCAACTAAATAACATTGTTACTACCATTAATGTAATAGAAAATTCATGACAAAAATACTGTTTTTTAAACATCTATGTTTATTACTTTGTTCTCATGATTAAATAAATGTACCCTAGTATGATATCCTTGAGAGATGCCATGAAACGGAAAGAAAAAAGCAAATGATGCGAAAAAGCATGTTATTAAATAGTTACATTTTTTTTAAAGGCAGCAAAGAAAGTGAATAAATGCTGAACCTGGTGTTTCTTTTGGTTTGCAGTGCAATCCTATACCGCCTATGCAGTGCAATCAGTTCTGCACTGTATACGGGCGAAAACTCAGCCCGTTTTCTGATGTCCTCTACAGGTAAGGTTTAATTCATTTAAAAAATCACAGTTAACTAGAATATATATATGGATGTTATATAAAATTACCATTATAATTACTTGAATTACTTTAACTCAAGTGCTGCCACGCTGGCAATTTGTCTGACTTCGGCGTCGCAGCGTCGGATTGTCATTGCAGTCATTGAAGGGGATCTCTTGCTACCTGCCGTCATACGCTCCGTCCGTCATGATAGATATTTTACGGTGGTGACATCCAGAAT